CTCCTCCACCAGGCTCCTTTCTCTCTCTTTGCCCTCTTGGAGGCACTTCTCCAGAGAGGCCACAAGGCTCTCCTTCTCTTTACTCTCCTGGAGATCTCGCTCAAGAGAGGCCAGCTCCGCTTTGAGTCTAGCCTCCTGTTGCTGCCGCAGTTCCCTCTCTGCATTGACAGCTGCTTCCATCTCCCTCATTTTCTCCTCTAATAAAACTTTAACACTTTCAGTCATTTCGGTAACCCATACAGGCTTCTCCTCCACTCTGCAGCTCCTCACAGCCGGTGGTACCGGCCTTCCGTTGCTCCTCGCCGCTACACTCCACACAATCTCTCTCTCCACAGCCATCTCCAAGGCCGCCTGCAAGGACTGTGGATGCTGCAGCTGTACCCCAACCCTCAAGTCCGCAGGGAGGAGAGCCCTGATGAATTGATCACGTGCCAGCTCACTCTGCACTCCGGGTGGCATGTGTGCATATGCCCGCCGCGTCAGGCTCTCCACGTCGTTAGCCAACGCACGCAGCGTCTCTCCAGACTTCCTACAGCGGTTACTCAATTCGTTCTGGAGCAGCTCTGGCGGGAAACACTGTCCAAACCGCCTCTTCAAAGCCCCCCGCTAACGCTTCATAGCTGTGTCGGTCCTCAAGGCTAAGTAGTAGCAGACATGAAAGAGCCTCTTCTGTGAGGCACAAAGCTAGCTGTAGTGCTTTAGTCTCTACTGACCACCCCTCGGCATGAGCAAGCAGTTCAAATTGGGCATGGAAAGCCTCCCAGTCTGCCTTACCCGAGAATTTGGGTGTTTTCACTGACCCGGCGGCGGCTGCTGCGGGTTGATGGGCGCCGCCACTGTTGTTTACCTCCCGCTTGGAAATGGAGCGAACTGCCGCAGAAGACGGAGACATTCCCGCGTCTCTAGCCATCCTCACCGCCGACTCTCTCAGGCGCTCTCTCACCTCCCGTGCACTCATGAACTTCTCTCTCATGTCCTTCGACCACCCGCATGCTCCATCTTCCTCTTCATCACTACTGTGTTCCTGCTTCACTCCCATCTTGTTGAACTTATCCATCCCCGCTAGCTTACCGGCTAGCTCCGTGACGCAGTTACGACTCTCGTCCGGATAGACGTCCTTTGTTCGAAAAGTTCACTTCTGACACCAATGTAACGTTCCCAAGATGAGTCGGAGACAGGCTTGTAGTTATTAGGCTTTAATAACTAGTATTTGAAGACAGATGATAACAGGTCAAGTACACTTCGTGGGTTCTACCGCACACTACACTCACACTAACACTAACTTCTACACATACCCATATATATAGCACTGTCTACTCACAACTCCCCGCCCTCCCCCGTCCGCTCCACCAACCACAGGCCCGCACCTCAGCCACCATCACGGTGCAGCTCTATGATTGGCAGAGAGACGGGGGATGCCTAAGTGACACCCTGAGTAGCCTATCAGGATCGCTACAATACGTATGATTGTATGAAAATATCTTAAAATAAATACAAATTTATTCATTATAAACGTTAGTCCTTAACATCTATCACTGTGTATATCACCATTCAAACATCTTTTAAAAGTTGAACAAACTCCACACAGCTCAGTAAAGACTGTGAAATGTTGACTTTATTTGATCATTTCAGTCAAAACTAACGTTCATATTTCTCTTTTTGATTATAATACTGATGAACGTTCAGAACAAAGCACTTTGGCAACTTACCACATACGTTTTAAAATGCGTAATAAGCCTCGTAACTTTCATGATATAATTTCTCGGTCATAATCGGTTGTTTCCGTGAACGGCCGACTGTTGAGTTACGGCAAATGCTGCGGCTGCAATGCATTGTAGGACAGCATTTTCTCCTCTCCTTTCGTCAAGGGAGGTCCAGTGGTTCCTAAGCTAAAGGAGGTTATAAAGGAAGTTTGAAACCTTAGAGAATTGGAACGGCACTTAACATGGCTGCCAGTGACGTACTTCCGGGTCATTTCACTTGGTTAGGAAGGTTCCTAAGCTAAATGGAACACAACCCTTATTTCGGAAAAAGTTTGTATTGAAGTCAATGTAGAGAGAAAGATTGTCTTTCGATCCCGTTTGAATTGTGCCACGAATTACACATATGATGTTTGTCAATCTTTAATAATCATTTCTATGTCAAAAAAGTCACAGTTTGTCGTAAAACTGTTGAAATATAAGACTATTGAAAAATACGCAACTAGAAAGACTACAAATCCCAGAATCCCGGTCCCGCATGCTGGCTCTTACGGAACCGACTAACTCCCCTTGTGTGTATGTACAGCTCTCAATATGCCCAGACTTGTAGTGATTTTAACCTCTTTTAATACTTTTCGCCTCATTCTGAAAGAAAGAAGTGAAATGTGCCAACGTGACGGCCGTCTTGGTGTGTGGTGCGAGACGGGAGATGTAGTTCATTGAGCGGTTTCACACAAAAAAAGTGTTACTTCCCAGTTTTACGACACATTTTTATTTTTTTTACTTGTAAAATTATCATATGTGTAATTCGTGGCACAATTCAAACGGGATCGAAAGATAATCTTTCTCTCGCCATTGACTTCAATGTAGGCTATTCTTGTATCTGATGTATTTTCATTGAAATGCGATTTTATGTAAGGGATGATTATTATCCCGCTTATGATATGGTCACATACAAAATAAACCAACGACTTGACTCACAATATTGAAATATTATGTTATCGACCTAGAAATTATCGGATTAAATGTATGTTGGACACGAGCCCATATGCTGTCTTCCTTGATCTCAGGAAGGCTTTTGACACTGTTTTGACACTGTTGCTCCGTACAAAGCTGACTCATTTCAATTTTTCGGCAGTTTCGATACATTGGTTTTTGTCTTACTTATCGAACAGAAAACAGTGTGTTTTGATCAACGGAGCCAAATCAATGCTGCAAAGTCATACCTCCACTGCATGATTCTATCCCATATTGAATACTGTTTTACAAACTGGTCGTTTGCTTGTGCCACACACCTGAAACCAATATAACAGCTGTACAAGAGGGCTACCAAGGTGTTTGACAGAAAGTCATATTCATACCACCACCGTACCATCCTTGAAAAACACAATTTCTTGAGTTATGACCATTTTAAAGTCTTTTAAAAGTATGTTTTTTTTAAAATAAATGCTTACATGGACTGCCCCCTCCACGCTGGCCTGGGAGCACCTTGGAACCCCCCAGTGTATTTGGTTGTTGTGGAAGTTGGGGCCCTCTGCTGGATCTGCTTCCCCTCGACTCGACTCCGGATAAGGGGTTGATGATGGATGGAGGGAAGAGAACCCATCATTTTGTGTTTGCTATCTATCTTGCAAACAATGGTCAACTGAGTATCCTTTTTAACCCTCCTTTGTTATTATCCTAAATGAAAAGAGGTCCACCCACTCTATAACTCTTTGTGAAGTTTATTCAGCCTGAAAAGCAACCACTAAAAGATGTTATGTAACATTGTTATTTTGCTGTTTGCAAAGGGAGAACCGTACATGAAAGGAAATGATGACATCAATTACCATGAAAAGGTAAAAACATTTCTACGTCTAATAATTATATTGCAATATCGTAGTAATGTCAGATGCCACTGATGAGTGAAATGATCTAACACTCTTTTCGAGTGTACATAGTGACTAAGAGGCACTATTATTAACAGAATCACATGCCAAAAATAATCCAGTGAATATTAACGGTGGTGCTGTTCAGGAATCACTTACCATGGAACTTCGGTTCCATTAATACAATAGGCTCAAGTGGTTTGATCAGTCTTCCGAGTAGCAATGCACTTAAACATTTCTTTAAGAAAAAAGAAGGCGAAAACATAAAAACAGTGCTTTCACATCTTGTCTAAGGAATGTTCCACGTAGAAAGAAAAAACTCAGGTCCGTCGCTTTGTCTTTACATACACAACATGGGAACTGATTTTCTTATAAAAGTGTCAAGTGGATAAAATTGTCACTATAAAAATTGTGACAAAGGCAAGTAGCCGTTTTGGCCGTTTTTCCATTTTGAAATCCGCTGTCATATGCCTGATGAATGTGAAAAGAAACGTGTGACCTACGGTGGCTCATAGGTGCAAACACGCTACAACAGCCAAAACACATGCAAATGAAGAAACATCTCCACCAACGTGAAACACATGCGCAGCATTTACTAAAAGCGCTATGTAGACGAAACGCTGCAAGAAGCTCCAAACACAACGGAAAAGGAATATGAAGTTGGCCAACTTGAACTCTTGCAGAGATAGTCCGTTTCATGTGTTTTGAGATTCTTGCAGCGATTTTTTTTATTTTCAGTGCTTTGTATTTGCAGCGATCTGTTTACGCAGCGCTTTTAGTAAACGCTGGGCATGTCAAGTTGGTGAAGATGTTTTTTTGATTTGCATGTGTTTTTTGGCACATTTGTGTTATTTTTTATTTGCACTGTTTTTGAAACGACAGCACGTTTCTCCCAATGGAAACGTTTTAGGACGTTGTAACGTAAAGCCTATTCGAGGCAGAAACACACTTTTGTGTTCCTTAAAGGTTCCATGTCATGGCCATTTCCACTGATCATAATTCCATTTGTGAGGTCTACTAGAATAGATTTATACTGTGCAATTTTCCAAACTCACATTGGTTTCGCATAGAGCATCTCTCAGCGATACACAGCCAAACTCACCCTGAGCGCACACAAAGTCACAGCCGAAGTAAAAACAATAAGTGTGGCTTGATATTGAGTAAGAAAAAGGTTGATAAACGCTGTGAGAATGGGTCTGCAGAGAGAATGGGTCTGCAGAGAGAATTTCGCCACGATCCCAACTGTCTGTTATCAGCCTGCAGCCAGGGAGGAGAGATCAGCAGAGCTGCCTGCACTGAGTGTGTGAGGAAGTCCGTGGATTGGTCAATTTGGACCAATCAGCGGGGGCTTAACGTAACGGCTCCGCGGACGTAACGTAACGGCTCCACGGATTGGTCCATTTCGTTCCGGGGACGACATGACATCATGATGTACCCGGAAGAATCAAATGGACAGTGACGTATCTCCAACGAGGCGTTTTGGGGAGGTATTTTCTGTTTTAGAGTTTTACTCGCTACAGGGTGTACTTTGAGGGTTTTGACTCTGCACACCGTTTACATGCATAAAAACCTTCATAACACACAAGGGGACGGGTAATAACCAGAAAAGCATGACATGTGACCTTTAAGGTGCCGCTTTTCTTCAGTTTATGCTGTTTGTAGGAGACATGGCTGTTCACAGTTTGAAAATGTTTAGCTTCTCAAAGCACAGCCAGCCCTCCGTCACAGCGGCTGGTGATCATGTTGCCCACTTCCATCCAGGTATCCAGGTGAGGGTCGTAGATTTCCACCGAGTCCACCGTCACCGGGGCGGAGAAGTCTCTGCTGGCCGCCCTGCCCCCGACGGCGTACAGCATCCCGTTGACCGCTGACACTGAAACGCCGGCACGAGCAGTGGACATCGACGCCACCTCCATCCATTTCTCCTGTAAGAACAAATGTTGGCACACAGATATAAACAGGATTGGGGAGTAATGGATTACATATAATGGGATTACATAATCAGGATACAAAAAAAGTTAACTGTATTGCCTTACAGTTACATTCAAAAGAATAATCAGATTGCTGGTAATTTTTTTTAAAGAACCAGAGAAACTTCAACCACATATAAACATTGTATTTTACATTGATGTCTGGTTGAGTCTGCACTTCCTTATCGCAGCAAAATTAAGCAAAATGGACTCCAAGCTAGCAAAATATTATACATAAATCTTAAAAAGGTCCCATGTCATGCTTTTCCGGTTATTACCCGTCCCCTTGTGTGTTATGAAGGTTTGTATGCATGTAAACTGGTCAAAACCCCTCAAAGTACACCCTGTAGGGAGTAAAACTCTAACACAGAAAAGACCTGTCTATGCTGCCCCAGAACGCCTCGTTGGACATTTTCTTTTTCATTTTTTTCTTCTGGGAACCAAGTGACGTAACGATGACCCCATGGACCAATTGCTCCAAATGGACCAATTCGCGGAGCCGTTCTGTTCCGTCCGCGGAGTCATTCCGTCCGCGGAGCCGTTACGTTACACACACACACTCAATCTTTTCTCAGCTGCAGCTCCACCGATTTCTCCTCCCTGAGACGGTGGGACGCGGTGCGGCTGTGTGTGAGCACACACACAAACTCCCAGCCAGGCTGCGGGTGTGTGTGTGTGTTCGGGCTGGGTTTCGCTGTGTCTCGCAGAAGGCCACTGGGCTCACAGGGAGGGGGGGGGCAGAAGCTCCAACAAGCCGTTTAGGACAGAGAGTGAATACACATACTATGCGTACACTGGCTACCCGTGGAACTGAGGATCGAATTCAAGGTCTCCGTCCTCACCCACCAGTGTGTCCATGGAACTGCCCCTCCCTACCTCAAGGAACTCCTCACCCCCCATACCTCCTTGCGGACCACCCGCTCCAGCAACTCTAACTTCCTCAAACCCCCCAGGACTAAGCTCCGTACTATGGGAGACCGGGCCTTCTGCTCGGCTGCTCCCAGTCTGTGGAATGCTCTCCCCGACCAAATGAGAGCACCACAGACCGTGGAGGCTTTTAAAAAAGGCCTAAAAACCCATCTCTTCAAACGAGCCTTTGCCTAGACCTTTTTATTTATTTTTGTATTGCTTTTTATTAATTCTACCGTGTTGTGTAATGTTTATTTATACTGTTCATGCTCACTACTTGTAGCACTTCGGGATTTGAAATCAAATATGAAGTGCTTTATAAATGGAACCCATTATTATTATTATTATTATTATTATTATTATGCAGAGATGCTGTATGAGAAACCAATGTGTGTTTGGAAAATTGCACAATATAAATCTATTTTAGTAGACCTCAACAATGGAATTATGGTCAGTAGAAATGGCCAAGACATGGGACCTTTAACAAGCTGGTAGTGTAGTATAATAGTCATCATGGAGCTTAATGGTTATGCTCGGGGTAACCCTGAGAAAACTTTTATTTCGATTGTGGTTTTGTTTTCACACTGAGCAAATAATAAATATATATTCCCTCTTGAATATTAACACAACAGTAGAGCATTCATTTGAAAACGTCTAAAATAACTTTTAAGAAAGATTTGTGATTTTGAATAGTTTTTAAAGGTATTACTGAACATTAATTGATCCCACTTCACCTCTTCTGGACAGTACTTCTCCACCGTGTCCAGTGCCCCCAGCGCCTCGTTCCAGCCACCCACGGCGTAAATGCAGTTATTGAGGCAGGCGACGCCCACGTAGGCCCGACGCGTGACCATGACGGGGAGAGCGCTCCATCGGCGAGAGATGGGATCATACACCTCGGCTGAACGCAGCTCCATTCCCTCGTCACTGATGCCTCCAATCACGTAAATAAAGCCTGGAAGGAAAAGTAAAAAATTCACTGCAGTGTCATTGTTCACACTTTAAATAACAAAGAAAAAGGCTATGAACACACCTTGTAGCTCACAGCAGCCGAAGTAGTACCGAGGGACGGCCATGCTTCCGATCACCTCCCACCGGTTCTCCTCCGGGTCGTATCGCTCCATCGTCTTCCCGATCTCCGAGCCAATCCAACCACCTGCAGGAGAACAGGAAAATCTTCAGCTTGTGCTTTTTTATGATGTTTCCCAAATTGCACTTGTTATCTATTTATTATCATTGGACTAAATTATTTGGTTGAATTTTTACAGCTTTTCATTGTCCCATGTTATGCACTCATGTTATGTTATTCTATTGCTCAATCCAGCTGTGTCATTGCATGTATTTTATTGCCCTTAAAAAAAGGTTTTTGTATTTTTACCTCCAAATTATTAACTTTTTTCTTAATTATTTCAGTGTAAGGCTTAAAGTTGACATGCTTTAATATACAAAAAGGTCTTTATTTTCCTCATACTGTCTATGCTGCAGCACCTCTATTCACCCTCTGTCTGATGTCCTGCACTTTAACCTATCACATACAGAAGCGCGAGTGTAACATAGTGATGTCATTATGTTACGGAAGTAAATAACGGAGTCTAACGGAGGCGTTTCAGGCAGGGGGGGAAACTCCCTCCGGAGAGAACTTTTGGATTTTAGCCTTTGCAGACCATTTACATGCACACAAACTATATAACACACTACAGGAAGGGGAAAACCCTCAAAAGCATAACAAAAAACCTTTAAGAGTCCTCCTTTTTTCTTAACAGCACTTATCAGGCCCTACCTAGAGTTTTGTCAATACATTTTATTTTACCAAGAACAGCTACACGACTAATAGATTTTGTGACATTGTGTGTTTGACAAACATGGTGCTACTGTGGCATTTACCAAGTGCATACAGAGCTCCGTGGCAGGGGCAGACGCCGACCCCACAGCGCGGGAAGTTCAAAGACGCCACGGCGGCCCACTGCTTAGTCACCGGGTCGTACCTCTCAGTGCAGTCAAAGATCATCGAGTCTTTCTCCCCTGGGGAAACACAGATTATTTCTTACAGACTGAAGACTGTTGAGGTTATTTCATTCCTGGGTTTGAAACCCGACAGCTCTCTCACCTCCCACCACGTAGATCATGCCCTCCAACACGGCGACCCCCAGCCCGCTGCGGGCCTGATGCAGGGACGACACCGTGGTCCAGTACTGGTTGAAGGTGTCGAAGCGCTCCACACAACTCAACGCGCGGCTGTCACTCCAGCGGCCGCCCTGCAGCCGAGTGTAGCCCCCTGGGAAGAAATATAGAGATAATGTGGCATTTCAGAATCAAAAGTCCTTTATCCCTCCAAAAGTGGGGACATTTACATTGTTACAGCAAGGGGAGAGTGCAGAAAGAAGGTGTAGACTAACGTTGTTATATTTAGTTGTACTTATTAGTTTGATGGAGACAACAGAGATACTCTTTTACGGTACGTCCACCATCTTGCCGGTGGGCGTGTCTGGCGTGCGACCAACAACCAATCACATTAATCTCCCGCCCCGGACACACAGGCACGCGGTTTGATTGGCTAGAGCTTGTACTGGCATATGATTTGATTGGCTGACGCTTCCGTCGAAGCTTGAAAAGTTGAACTTTTCTCAACTTTTGAAGCGAGCAACGGAGGCCAAGCGACGCGACGGAACCACAATGCAGTTCGGCAAAGCCTGACGTCACCCCATTCAAAGTGAACAGGAAGCGTCTCCGTTGAAGCACGCGAGGCTGCCGTGTGGACGTACCGTTAGGGTTTGTTGATTGTTACGTGTCTATCTGAGAGAAAACTCCCTCTGGAGGGAACACAGAGATTGTAGCCTTTGCAGACAAATTACATGCACAAAAACCAATATAACACACTACAGGAAAGGCAAGCCTTGAAAAGCATCAGGGCCACTTTAACAAATGTAAAATGCACAGTGTTACTTCAGAGTAACTTTTTCTGGTGTTTCTTATTTAGAGGAAATCAATCAGGTGAATTTTGAATGTTGACAAAGGTCATGTGAAACAGCACCTATAGCATAGAGGTATTTTCTGGCTTTTCTTCTGGGTCTCATCTTGGCTGGTTGGAGCTGGCTGTACATCTTATTCTCTTTGGGAGACTTTGTGACTTCAGTGTATTCCTTAAGAAGAGTCTGCAGTGCCACCCGCAGGCTGAAGTCGGTAATACCTTTAAAAAGCATTTCAAGATGTTGTTAACAATGTAGCTCTTAATCAACGTTACAGCAATATTGTGAATGCTACATCAATACATGTGTAAGATATAAACGTTGGGATGCCAAATGTTATGTTCCCTCACCCTCGATGTACTTGAACAGTCTCTGTGGGGAGAGCAGAGGGAAGCGCACCGGCTCCAACACCTCCACTACGTGTTTTTTCCTCTTTGCCATGTCTTGGAGGACCCAGTCCATGGCTGCCGTGAACACCTGGTACTCATCCTCGATCCTCAGCTCTTCACTTCTTAGGAGCCTCACCAGCTGATCCTTCGACAGGCCCCTGAACTCATCGGTCACACACACCTAAAAGGAAGCAGATGATAGGCAGAGTTGAAATGCTTCCATTCGGATTAAATGCTGATGGTCAGACATTTTTTTACAAGAAAAAGAAGATTTTGACAGAAACACTAGGGATGGGAACTGGTTCCAAATGGTCCGATCCATTGTAATTGTAGCGCTCTGAGGTTTTACATTATCTTAAATCATATGCCAGCATGTTTTTCTGACAGTTTTGTGCTGCAAAATATCTGCGGTATGACGTCAGAATCTGTGTCTACGCAACTTGAACTTCAAACAAATGGGAGTCATTGCGGAGAGGAAGACAAAAGGGGAAAAAACTCAAAAAGTAAGCAAAAGTGCTACTTGTGATGTCTGTAAAATTGGTGTACTGTATTTTAACAAATGTTATAAGGCAGAAATTCAACACTGTGTCCAGACTCAGAGATGCTAAAACAGCTGTGGTGACGCTAAAAAAACCTGTGTAGGACTACTGTCTTTCATGTGAGAAAATGTAACCTACATCAATAGGGAAATAGATAGAGAATCAAACTGATAAGTAGAATAAAGAATGGATTTTGCATCAATCAGAGGTGTTAACTTGAGTCAGATTCGTGTCACAGATTTGATGACTTAAGACTTGGCGGGGCATTAAGATTTGATAAGGGCTTCAACATTAGTTAAGGGCTTTCAGGCATGGCCTGGGACTTGCAAAGGCTTAAGACTTAATTTCAAAATTAATGACTTGGTCGCACCCCAGGTATCAATAAATACAAATATTATCCCTGTCAGAAACAGTGCCTCTTATTATTATATTGTCTCCTACCTCCAGAAAGTGAACCTGAATGTAGTTCTCTGTGAACTCCAGCATCTCCATGCAGGCGATCTGCTCCAGGAACTGAAAGATGCCCACACAGTTGGACGGGTCCATGTGGCCCTTGAGGAACCCTCCGCAGATGGACACCACCTCGTTCAGCTGCAGCATGTCCGCCGCCACCATCAGCTCCTGGACGTTCTCCACCGTCACACTGATCACGCCTGATAGGGAAGCAAAAATGATATAAAACAGATCTGATGGAACATGATGATGTGGGGAGTATCAGAGGAGATGCAGACCTGTGTATATGAAGTCCAGGAGAATCTCAAACACTTGAGTCTCCAGTCCGAGGATCTGCACCTCCTTTTTATCCGCCTCCCTCATCCCCCCGGAGAACAGAGCGGAGAAGTAAGGGCTGCTAGCAGCGAGCACCAGGCGGTGGACCATGAAGACCCGGCTGCCCACCTTCAGACCCACATCACAGAAATCTGTGCGGAGCCGCATCTTGTTCATCTGGGCCAGGATGAGTCTGGCGTAGCGATCTGAGGCCAGCAGAGCCTGCTCCGACGCCTGGGTTGCCATGACAGCACCACCACAACCAGTGGATGCTGACATGGAGGTGGAGGACATAGCAGCTGGGGCAGGTCTGTGCTAACATGGAGGCCAGTATTCCCAAACCCTCCTCTCTAGTGGGTGTCAGCATGAAACACACCTGCAAGACATACAAGCTCATGCATTAACAACAAAACCCACACTTTGCTGTTGTGTAACAACACAACAATGAGGCTTAGTCGGACATATTATAAAGAATATACGTTTACAACGGACTTCCTTGATTGTCTCTTGCTAAAGTCTTAGTGCATTTATAGAGAAGTTACTGTACGTTCCTGTTGCTATTATTTGCTATTAAACATTTAACGAAAAACGACGTTAGCCAGACGTGCTAGCCAACACAGACAGCCATTCAACCATCATATTCATCAGTTTAATACTCCACTGAAATGAGACAACTTTACCACGAAACAACCCCTTCTATAAGAGTGCAAATTCACTTGTATTGGGGGGAAAATATATGAAATTCAGCTTGTTTTTAGCCGTGACTTACCCATAAGTTTACTGATGAGGATGCAGGCAACTTCCGTCGCCCTGCAGACTGTCAACACATCCTCCACGATCGACTGCTCTGGTCTGGCGGTTGAATGTGTCCAATAATGACTAGCCGATCCCCGATAGAGGTACACGCTTTTTACCTGAATAATTTTGTTATGTCGCCACTGACCCTTGTTGTCGGCATGTCCGTCCTAAGAGACAGAGCTTAACATGAAGGTATGAGTTATTTAGCCTAAGTTTGAATTATGTTGTGCTTCCTTCCTTCATTTTGGCCTGTTTACTCAATAACTTTCGCCAGGCTGGTTGTAACACACAACACCAGATGGCAGTGTCGCCTTTGAACAAGCAGCTAAACAAATGGAAGTCCTTGACAACAGCCACAGAAACCTGTACATGTACATGTACATTATCATTATTCATAGCATACCAGCCCCCAGCACAATAGTACTTTTTCAGATACAGCCAGCCAACACTGTCCCATGTCATGCTTTTCCGGTTATTACCCGTATGTGTGTTATGAAGGTTTTTCTGCAGGTAAACGGTCTGCAAAGTCACAAACCCTCAAAGTACACCCTGTAGCGAGTACAACTCTAACACAGAAAATATCTGTCTATGCTGCCCCAGAACGCCTCGTTGGAGATTTCTGTTTTTCCATTGTTTTCTTCCTGGGTACAGTGACGTGCCCATACTCAAATGGACCCATTGGTCCGAATGGACCAATCCGTGGAGCCGTTACGTTACGTCTGCGGAGCCGTTAGGTCCAAAACTTTATATACCAATCCACGGACTTCCTCACACACACACACACACACACACACACACACACACACACACGCACACACACGCACACACACACACACACACACACACACACACACACACACACACACACACACACACACACACACACACACATACCATGTATACATCACTTCAGGGGACATTACATTGACTTACATGCATTTCCTGGAGACTTATCCTAACCTTAACCATAACCAACACATGCCTTACCCTTACCCTAACCCTAACCAAGTCTTCACCCTAAAATTAATGATTCCCCTCATGGGGACCTCCATTTTGTCCCCATAAGGGAGGCGAGTCCCCACACGTGACTATGTAAACAAATTTAGGTCCCCACAAGTATAGTAATGCTAGACCACACACACGAACACACACACACACTCAATCTTTTCTCAGATGCAGCTCCGCCGATTTCTCCTCCCTGAGACGGCGGGACGCGGCGAGGCTGTGAGTTTGTGTGTGAGCACCATGGTGAGCACTGAGCACACACACAAACTCCCAGCCAGGCTGCGGGTGTGTGTGTGTGTTCGGGCTATAAATCTATTTTAGTATACCTCAACAATAGAATTATGATCAGTAGAAATGGCCATGACATGGGACCTTTAAACTGTAACCTCATTCACTGGACACTTGGCCTCTATGAGCTAGCTAACATACTCTCAGCAATGGGTAGTCCAGTTTGTTTTAATCAGTAGCTTGACATCAAATTGGATTTAAATATAATGTTGGAAACCTGTTATTAAACAAAATCTAGCACTGCTTGGGCCTGTCAGACCTTTCTGAGTTGAGGTGAAAAACACCTGTGACAATTACAGACAAAATTCCTGTAACTGTCACTTGACTTGTATTTCCTGATATGTCAAAGTGTCACCCAGGATCTAACAGCCAGTGCTGTACTAGAAAATATGTGGTGGCACCAACTTTGGCAAATTAAAACTCAGACAGATATGTGCCAACCTGGCAACTCCCGTCGCCCTGTTTAGTTACATTTCCAGCTTTTCCTTTTATGCTAGAGGTGATCCTCCATTGCCATTATCTTAACTAAACAATAAGCTCATTGGACACAGCTTAAATAGACTCTAAGCCAATATAAGGCAGAGCTCACCCTTTCAAACTTCAATTGACGCAGGGCTCAACAATTACCCGCTTGCCCAGGGGCAAATGAAAAGCCAAGTCGAGCTAATAAATCTAGAAACTCATTTGCCCAATTTGGTGAGTTCTAAAAAAGAATAAAGTTGAGAGATGCCAATGTGGGAAAAAGAGAAAGTCGAAGCTGAAGCGTAGGCAAGCTATTGATTTATCCTGGAAACACACTATTATTTAGGTGGTGTAAGAGGATGTGGGTGAAACTCCACACATAAATAAACAACTATCGGGGCAAGTACAAATGTACTTTGGGCAAGATTCCAGACTTACTTGCGTAATGGGACAAACAAACCCAAACATAGCTGTGAAAACCTCATAAAAAGCAAACACTAATTGGAATGTCCCCCCCCTTTCTTTGCATCCAAATAACTGAAAATCTAGTCTTGAAATGTTCCTTTTCATCCCCGAGAGACTATGGAGATTTTCAGAACATGAAATAATTATGATGACATGACAGCCTACCCTTAAGCAAATTAATAAATAGCGTTTAATGATGAAGTAAAACAAAGAAAATATACATTTATATACTGCCAAGATCTGTCATATTCAGCTTTCAATTGATCTTACCCTGAATAAACTTGAACCTTTTTAAACCAAGCTATATTGGGATATTTTCCAAATGTATCCCATTGAAATGTTGATCAAAACGTCTTAAACTTAAATATTAACATTTTCAAAGGAGGATGTTTTCTTTATCTTTTAATCAGATTCGTTTTTTCTCAATGGTAGCACAAGCACTGTCACTTTCCACACAAGCCTGAGTTGTGTTAATCACATTACGTATTTTTAGCAGTCGTGAAGTGATCAGAGCTGTTTTGCAATTCAAGAGCCTCATTAGTTTCTCATTGAAGTTTGAGCACAGCCACTATTCATCAATGGACGGTACATGCTATTGAGGAACATACATGTTTTCTACAAGTCCAGGATGATAATATGTCCATGGGACATTGGTATAAATAACTGAGACATTTGTTGTTTGTGGCTTCTGGCTTTTTATATCAAATCAATCTTTTAAGCAAATTGACACTGCTTTAGGTGTTTAATTTCCAATATGAACATGTGTCTTTTTCTTTTGCCTTTTGTTCTTTAGGCTGTTGCCCGGGCAGGTGCCTCTTGTAAAACAGGTTTTAGTAAGTAGGTGAGGTGTTAAAATAAATGTGAAAGTAGTGACACCGCCTTCTTTTGGTTAGAGTTGTTCTGTTACATTATGAATTTTTTATTTGTAGTCTCTCTAAATGTTTGTGCTTGTCACGAGCATGAGGATTATTTTCACCAATAATAATATCCCTTCACTGTGGGGATGGGAGCAGTACGATTTCCCTGCTCCCAGAATCTCCAATGTAGTGGGAGAAAAAAGTCAATAGTGTGAGGGTCATCCTGGAAAGCGGTCACCATAATTACCATTCAGGTTTAAGTGCAGGGTATGTCTGACTTTTTCATCAGGGCTCTGTTTTCTTGGCTCGACGATGCTTTGACCAGGAAAGAAAAACATCATGAATTGAGCTTAAGGCTTCTTATGGGAGTAGGTAGAGTTCAGCGTTTACTGACTACTTGGCCATCAAACCAGATAATGCAAAACAAGTCATTAAAGCGCTCTGTGGAATAATGTTTTATCATTTTTTCCATGATATTGCGCACAACGTATACTCGAAAAATCCCTGTTTTATGATGAATGTATTCAATTTTCTGTTGTTAATACATCTTCTTTCTTATTTCTAATACCCCTCGATTGTATTTCAAATGGTGTCTACTTGTTTGTTCTTATCTTGCTAGACAAGGCTCCTTTCCTCACCTGACAGGACTTGTAAACTGCGTAACCCTTCTTTATCTTGGCTTGGTTCACCACCTACAATGTACATACAGTATTGTGCTTTCAGACCAACCTGGTTTCTGATTTGAACTCTGAAGCTTCTCTGCAGTGTTTCAGTCCTTTGCAACATTAGTTTGCTGGCTATGTGCCTGCTGGTTCTTTTTTTTTAATCTATTTGAGATGTGAACTCCTGCAGTGAGATTGTCCTGAGAGCTTGAGGAATACAGAGGTTCTTCTTTTATTATAGGTAGTTTGTAATTCATTTATTAATTAGGTTGTGAGCACTTTATAAATCATTAATAAGCTTTTATAAGACATGAGATAAACAGGGCAACTGTGACCGGTTGCTTGCCAAATAGTGAGCCCACATGTATCTGTACTGCTAAACCTTATATTGGCTACCTAGCTTGATTCATCTTCTTCATCAGCCAGCATCCTTGGTATCTGTTGCTCACCGAGTTGATTCACTAAGTAGCCAATGTAAGGCTTAGTCATCTTGCCAAATAGTGAGCCTGTGTTGATGTATGAAAACTATGTTAGATCTGGTTTATAAATGGTTCTTAATGATTAATAAAGTGTTTACAACCTAATTAATAACCTAATTATAAACCCTTTATGAATCCTTTATAAGGGTAGTCTTATTGTAAAGTGGTACCGTTACAGGTAAAAATGCTCTTTAAATATGTAGGATGCCCTATTATTAATCATGTTAGAACCACTTTGGGTCTAAACAACACAATCAAATACAAAGGTGTTTGCTTTTGGCCCATGGTCCACCATTACGTTTCAGTGTAGGCCCTACATGGAAAAAGTTTGTGCTCCCATGTTTCAAACTCATTAAATTCAGGGTTCATGATACAGTGTAATCTTCATTTTTCTGTAATTTAGGACACAGATTATTAATGCAAGAGACACACTGATGTTTGAATTGGGTCAAAAGGATGACATAAAGCTTAAAAATCCCTATGGGCTTAAGTGTTATTATCCTAAATATTTTCTAGAATATGTACAGCATTCTGCTTTCAAGGTTTTGTTTAACCACTACTGTACATTGGTCCTTATTGTAAGTAATCAGATATGTTGTGATCTTGCCTATACTTTAAAATGATAGCAAATATATATATATATATATATATATATATATATATATATATAATAAAATCATCTCTTTCGACTCCACTTCGAGCGTTAGAACTATTAACGAAGCACTTTTATACTAATAAAGGACTGGCTTACCTAAAGCCAGTTGAGTAGCATTTGAAATGTTTGGCTCTATGAAACCTGATGTACTTATATGATTCTGTTTTCTTCAAGGTTGTGTCTTCCTGGTCGAATGTACTTATTGTAAGTCGCTTTGGATAAAAGCGTCAGCTAAATGCAATGTAATGTAATGTAATGTAGTGCCTGAAAAGAAAAAAATGAAATATAGGCCTATGTTAAAAACTTTCCAAGCATAATTTCAAACTTGTTTAATGTGTATCATTTACCATAACTCCTCCAGGTTTTGAAACAATGTTCTGTCTTTATTTATTAGTTTTTCAGTTTTGCCATTACCTTTACGACCCAATAACATGAGCAGCTATATTATAAAAAGAAATAGATACATTAATTCACACATATACACGACATACAGACTAACTGTTTTTTAGAGAGGCTTCAAAGAAAATGTAGAGCTGTTATGTTAAATGGTTCAGTCCGTAGCCTACATGCTGCTTGGCAGGCAACAGCATCGCTT